CCCCAAAACCCCAAAACCCCAAAACCCCAAAACCCCAAAACCCCAAAACCCCAAAACCCCATAATGGTTTTCTTCTTGACCAGAATATAATTATTTTACTCAATAAAAAACATGGGTAAGCCTTTGTTCGAACTATGGTGACCAGAAGCCTATAAAACTTTTATTCAGGATCTCTTAAAAGACTAATTCTGATTTCTCCTTAGACACAGATAATGAAATAAGGTCTTGCACTGAAACTACAAAGAGCACTATCAGTAATACCACTGAAGATGCCATAGGTGCTGCCCTTGGCAGAGATATCTGGAGTAATTATCCCTATTTAGAGTTAAAATGGTTGATCGTAGAATAATAGACCAATAAGAATACATTCATGATGGTAATAGATAGAAAATATCCTCCCTCCTGGCCACCAGAAGAGTTAATCCCTCAATTTTGTAGTAATTTTCTGTATGAGTTTTTCTAAGCCTTAATCTATTTTTGGCCCTAGTTTTAACCCTTAAATGAAAACAGATATTTTAGCAATGCTAAGAGTGGTAAAATATTTTGTGATAAATTTTAGAAAAAATTCCCAATTAGCAAATTTTAAAGCATAATAGTATCCGATGAGGTTTATTCAGTCATTGGATAGTTTAATGAAACCTTCGGTCGGTCAGAGATGTCAAAGACAATAATTATTTTGCTTTGTGACCTCTTCTATTATACCAAGAATAGTGAAACTTAGAGAGCTGCTCTGAAGTTAGTTAACACAGCTAATTATTTTTCCAAAAGTAAAAATGTTGTTACAAATTATTATCTTACACCAAAAATTTAATGTTCAAAATTATTTTCCTAAGTCTATTCATGACCACCTCAAATTGATTTTTCATTGTAAAGGTACATAAAGCTATCTCTCCTTCCTCTTGTATGTCAGAAATCCTGCCAAGCCGGAGCTCTGTTTACTTTGACAAAAAGTATGCTTTAGAAAATTTTAGAATCGGGCTTAAAATACAATAGGGCATTTCTGGATTTCCTCAAAATTTTACTAAGACTGTCATATAGATCAAAATCCTACTATGGAGAGAAGAGAAAGTTTAGCCAAGTCAGAGGAGCCAGTCGTTGGTATTGCGCTTGAGCCACCAATTTACTATTATGAATCTAATTTCAAACGCTATTTCTTAATGCCGCTGCTGACCTTGTTGACTGCAGGCCTGATTCATTTTGTCACTCAAAACAGCCTGAGGATAAGAATCTTTGTGTGGTACAAATAAAGTTAGCTCAGTAAGAGTTTTCATTCAAAAATATAGATAGACGATGCATCTCACGTCCTCGCTAGAGGAAAAGCCAAAGGATCTCACAAGTATATTCAATCTTAATAACTATAGTCCTCCTTTGCCAGAAATAGTTGAAATAAAGACAAGTAAGGTTACTTTATTGGCATTGCTAACATTGCATAGTTGAGTTAAATAAGAATACAATCGGAGTCCCAGATACAGAGAAAGAGAATGAAGGAAGATTATGGTAGGATCCAATTGTTAATTTCTTTAGAAAAATATATACATTCACCTATAAATACACTACCTATGTCTATGACACCATCACCGAAGATTTTGAACAATTGAAGTATGACTTTAGACTCAAGTTCAAAACTATGCGGGAAAAGGAGAGAGGCATTAAGGATTCAGAACAGAAAAGTTTGGTAAGTTTTACAGGAATTCAGCAAAATGTGCTAAAACATATCTAAATTTTACTCTTTAGTATCAACTATATGGTCCTTGAGTGATGCAGATTAACGTGAAGCCAATAATCAAGATTCTTGTGCAAGATATTTTGAGGTTTTTCTATATATTCCAGATTTTTGGCATGATAGATTGGACGATCTCAGGCTCCTGGCTTCTAGCTACTGGTATCTTCTTCATGCTCTTTGTGTCTATCTATGGAGAGCTCTCTACAGTCAGGTCTAATCTTATAATGCTTAGTAAGATGGCTTTCTTCGAGACCAGAATAAATGTATGGAGAAGGAATGACAACGGGGAAGCAAGATGGCTCGAAATAAGCAGTCTTGATCTTGTCCCAGGAGACATCATTGAGCTTACCCAAGGAACCAAACTTCCTTGTGATGCCATTATGCTTAATGGAGTCAGTGTTATCAATGAAGCTATGCTTACTGGAGAGAGTGCTCCTGTAGTCAAAGAGCCATTGCCTAATAGTGAAGAAAGAGTTGGAAAATTTAGTATCGAAAATCCAGAACAAGTCAAGTACTTTTTGTTTTCAGGAACAGAAGTAGTTCAGAACAGAACGCTTGGAGATGAAAAGACCACTGCTATAGTCATTAAGACTGGATTCATGTGTGAAAAAGGAGAAATGATTAAATCGATTTTGTATCCAAAGAAAGAGAGGTTCAACTTTGCTTATGAATCTATGATTTATCTCATATCTTCAGCTATAGTTTGCATTATAGGCTTCACTTCTATTCTTTTTGTATATATCAAGTACTATGAGCCTTTTGACATCCCAGTTAGGTATTTCGCTGGGATCACTCTTTCAATCCCACCAGAGTTCCCTATTGTAATGACAATGGGAATCGTTTTCTCTCTTGCTAAGCTAAAGGATAAATCTATCTATTGCATAAACCCTGATAAAATCAGGTCTGCTGGAAGAGTAAGCATCATGGTCTTTGACAAGACAGGAACACTTACGGAGAGTCACCTTTCCTGTGGTGCTTATAAAATAGATATTGGAGAAGATAAATTAAAAGGAATTTCTTCAAGCAATAAACCTGTAGAAAATACTCAAATATGGACTGATAAACAAGAGTATTTAAAAGAATGAGATTCAAAATTAGTCAAATATGAGGAGTGTCTAGCCTCCTGACATTCCCTATCACTCTTTGAAGGTAATTTTCTTGGAGATAACTTGGATATTGAAATGTTTGTGACTACACAATGGGGTTTTGATGATAATCCCGCTTCACAAATTGAGGAAGGATCAGTTTCTATTATGCATCCACCTTGTGTAAAGTTAGCTCGAAGCATCGACCAAAATGCTTGAGATAATTTCTACTCAATCTCACTGATGCATAAATTTGATTTTTCGTCAAAGCTCCAAAGAATGTCAACCATTGCCAAGCCTTCTTACAGTGACACTTGAATCCTTTTCACTAAAGGATCACCAGAGATGATTGGAAAACTTTGCATGCCTGAAACACTCCCTTCAAACTATGAAGATGAGTACAACTACCACACAAGACAAGGCCATAGAGTGCTTGCTATGGGTTACAAGTATTTCCCAAATTTCGATAAGAACAATGTTGAGGAACTGAATAGAGAGCAATGAGAAAAAGACCTGATCTTCCTTGGTCTCCTAGTCATGGTAAATGAACTAAAGTTAGCTACCAAAAAGTCTATTATAGATCTGAAGAATGGTAAGTTCTTAGCTTCCTTATAATTTAGGCGGTGTGATCCCAATCATGGCTACAGGAGACAACATCCTGACTGGAGTTAACAAATCAGCAGAGTGAGGAATTCTTGAGTCTGAGGAGGTTATCGTAGCCTCTCTTGATAAGAAAAAGATATCATGGATCAAAAAGGAAAATATCTTTAACAAGCAAGAAGAAACCAATGAAGAGGTGGAAGAAGATCTTGTATATTATAGTGATGGGGAAAAGATCCCTTTGATCACAGAAGAATATTCTGAAAGAAACATGCTCCCTTACTTGATGAATGAGAAAAATACTCCTCTTCAAGTTGCTATGGAAGGCCCTTGCTTCGATTACATCATTCGTAAAGCAGAAAAAGGCGAGAGTATTGATGGGTATTTGGCCCAAGATGTCCTTATTGAAGTTCTTCGGAGAGGAAAAGTATTTGCCAGAATGTCACCATTTCATAAAGCCCTTCTTGTCGAAGAACTCCAAAAGCAGACTGGAGAGATAATTGGAATGTGTGGAGATGGAGCAAACGATTGTGCAGCTCTTAAAAGTGCAGATGTTGGATTGTCTCTTTCAGAAGCTGAAGCCTCTATTGTCGCTCCATTTACTTCAAAAATTCAAGATATTTCTTCTTGAGTAAACTTATTAATTCTTGGAAGAGCTTCTCTTGATTTGAGTTATGAATTATTCAAGTATATGATTGTCTACTCATACATCCAATTCACTTCAGTAATGATCATGAACACAATGACTGCAACATATGATGACACTCAATTCCTGTTCTTCGATCTAGGAGGTGTAGTGCCAATCACTATGCTTCTAAGTTGGACAAAGCAAAAAGACTACCTTATCAACAAGCGCCCAGTGGGCTCTCTCTTCAGTTGGTCGATCTTCTTCAGCATATATGGACAGATCCTGATCCTATTCAGCTTCAATCTTGGCACTTGGTTCAACTTAAAAGCCCAGAACTTCTACACACCTGCAGTCAAACATCATAACATGACCACAGACGGTGACGAATCTACCGTAATGATGCTGATCACCATCCCTCAGTACGTTTTTATGGGGATTGCCTTCCACATCTCCACTCAGTTCAGAGCTCCCATCTACACAAATATTCCCTTAATGATCCTTCTAACCTGCCAATTCGCCTTGATAGGGTGGGTGACCCTCGGCCCATTGCCATTCATGGAAGATGCACTCCATCTGACCAAGCTGAGGTTCTACTTTAAATACATAATCATCTTCACTGCCTTGGCCAATGGATTCTTGACAATTTTATATGAGCAAGTGATACAAAGGACTATAGGAAAAATGGAAATGGAGAAACCTATTACTTATGGAATCTCCTCTAGTAATATCCAAGAATCAGATTCACAAAGACACAGTTTTAAGTCAAAATCTGAATAACTTCATCTTAATAATTCTTAGGTATTCAGAGTGTTCAACGATAATGAAATGAGTAGGGGTTTTGGGGTTTTGGGGTTTTGGGGTTTTGGGG